TTGTGTTAGTAGTTGGACTAATTGTAGGAATTGTAATGAATTAGGATGTCAAATGTTGTTCAATGTTTTGTCTTAGTTTGTCCCAAATGTATCAGCTAATGTAATATCAATGTTATTACAAATGTAATTTTAGTTTGTTATATCAAGATTTATATGAATGTTGTATAATAGTTTGTTCCAATTGTATGAGTTATATCAATGTTGTTCCAAATGTAATTTCAGTTTGTTATATCAAGATTTATATGAATGTTGTATAATAGTTGGTTCCAATTATATCAGTTATATCAATGTTGTTCCAAATGTAATTTCAGTTTGTTATATCAAAATTTATATGAATGTTATATCATTTTGTTCCAATTGTATCAGTTATATCAATGTTGTTCCAAATGTATTAAGATTTATATGTTCATTACATGTCATTTTTAATGGTTTTTTATATCCTACAGATAACAGATCAAGTTTATTTGAAGTTACAGATAGCAGATAACAGTTTGTTATATCCTACAGCCAATTCATTAATGCTTTCATGACAGATAATAAAATGTACCAAAATAACAACACAAATTAACCATAAAACTTATTCATTAAACATAATACCATAATAACATTACAACTTAACCATAGTATTTGTTCATTACTGGTTAACCAAAAGGTACCTAAACTAACAAAAGATACTTGACCATTGCTCATAGTACTTGAGCATTACATTACAAAAGGTACTCAAACTAACAACAAATATTTATATAACACTACTGCTGAGATGGTTGTGTAGGTGGAGGGGCTTGTGACGAGCTTCCAATCTCAACTTGAGTTGTCTTTTTCTTCTTCCCTTGGCCACTCTTTTTAGACTTCTTGTTATTACCACCTTTTGGAATGGCTTTTTCAGCAGCCCCCTTTCCCTTACAGCTTCTTTTTTTGTAACCCATTGCTCCACACTTATGACAAGTGACACTTGTCAATCTTCTAGGAAGGACATGTGGATTTTTTGGTTCATCGTTAGCCTTGTTTCTCATTTTTTTTGGATGACCTATAACCCTTCTCATAATTGGTGGATTCATAATGGACTGATCATCCAAAGGCCACAGTTGTGGATCATTAGTAGGGTAAATAATGTGTGGACCGTTAGTATCCTCTTAGTAAGACAGTGCTTAATCTCTTCCAACAAAGTGATGATTGGCTTATCCATGTATTCTAGAATAGCTCTATTAAAAGCCTCACACATGTTATTTACCTGAAGATCACATTTGGAATATGTTTTGAAGTGAGATCGACTCCAATAATGTGCAGGGATATCCATCATTTTCTTCCATGCAGATGGTTTCATACTCTTCATCTTTTCCATTCCCCTTTCCCATTCTGGTGCAGTTGTTGCTCTTGCTGCACTCCACATAACCTCTTTGAATTCAAGCCCATGATTTTTCTTCTTCCAATTCACATATAGGTGTTTTGCACAAAGGCGTTGCTCAACATGAGCAATCACGCTTTGAATTGTTGGTACCAATTCCTAACATACAAACAAGACAATTACAATGTTACAAACAAGATCAATGATTAATTGCAAGTCAGAAAATAATAACTAGAGCATTACCTTTTGTTCGTCAGAAATAACAACATAAGCTCTTTTATTTATAACTTCCAAGTCTTCCAATAGAAGTTTGATGAACCAATCCGAAGAATCATTTTTCTCATCTTCCACAACCGCATAAACAATAGGAAAAATCTTATTGTTTCCATCTCTCCCAACAACAGCCATCAATTGCCCTCCAAATTCACCCTTCAAGAAGCAGCCATCCAACCCAATCAATGACCTACAGTAGTTTGCAAAACCATATTTACAAGCCTCTAGACATACATAAATCCTTTCAAACACATGGCCTTCATTTGATGGAGAACATTTGATCACAACACTGCTATTAGGGTTAGATTTTAGTAACTCTTGGGCATAGCTTCTCAAATGGTTGAATTGATCCATATCAGCACCTTGTAACAAACCCATAGCCTTTCTTTTAGCTCTATACACTTGATCATGTGACAACTTCACTCCCCATATATCAATAGCTTGAGCAATCAATCATGTTGGCTTCATATCAGAGTTGTGTCTTAGAATGTGACCAAACTGCTTAGCCAAATATATAGTCTTTGCTTGCCTGTTATTTGGGGTTCTAGAACAGTTGTGTTCATCAACTAAATTAACTACTTGCCAAAATTGATTCCCAACCCTTTTACTAACCCTCGTGTGAAAATTGTAGTCTTCTATACATTTCACCACCATCCTCTTTGCATCATTTTTCTTAACGTAAACATTTTTGTTCATCTTTAAAACATAGTCTGCCACAACCTTATGAATATTTTCTTTGTTACTAAACTCCATACCTAGCTCAAAATTTGAGGAGTCGCTTTTAAAAGAAGGAAACTTCTCTTATTCCTCATCACTGCAAATCTCATTAGGTGTATGCAACACATCAGGATCAGGATTATCCTCTGAATTTATAGCCTTATCACCAGCCCCATCACAATGAATGACATTTGTCCAATCCAAGTCCACATGCTCTTCAACATTCTCACTTTCACCATCATGCTCATTAGTCTCATGACTAGAACTACTTATCTCCCTCTCACTTATAATATAGTCTTCATCATCATCATCGTCATCCATTCCAACAGGTTCACTTCCAACTTCAACTTCAGCCTCAATAGGTTCACTTCCAACTTCAACTCCAGCTTCATCATGATTACTTATAATTTCAACATCAGAGTCAGCTTCATCATCAACATAGTTTGGACAACCATCAACATTATCCTCAACAGGAGTCACTTCTATTGAGTACTCAACATACACATCCATCAATTCAAAACCTTTAATATCCTCTGCCAACTTAAGAACATCATTATCACAGTTTAGGGGTCTAAGGCCACGACTAAAGCTATACTTGGAGTTTCAATATCACATACACTTGATATTCTTATATCCCTCCTCCTTTATCAGATTTTCTAAATCCATATACGACATGTAGTCCGTATTCCACTTCCAATCCAATTCAGAGACAAATCCGTCAACATACCATTTAACAGGACTCTATTAACTTTCCCCTATGCTGAAATCTTATCTTAATGCAATGATTTTGAGATGATCTGAATAAATTACAAAATTTCCATCAGAATACTGTATAAAATATGGTGAAAACAAGATGAGGAAAGATAACAAGTTCAAAGAACATACCTCGTACAGAAACGAACATCTTCTTTTTCTGTCGAACACAGTGGAATGGGTGGAATGTTCCTCATCTTCGTTGCTGCTTGGACGAACAGTGAAAGATGAAGATCTTTGAAGAACGAATATGAAAAAATAAGATGAAGAGGATTTAAGGATTCAATAGAAGATCGTTACGCAAGAGAGGATTTAAGGATTTAATAGAGAATCGTTGCGCAAGAGAGGATTAGGGTAGGAAAAGATTAGGACAATAGAGAATGATCTTTGCGCAAGAGACGATCTAGATTTTTAGTATTTTCAAAAATTAATAATAATTAAATAATAGACTTAAAATACATGGCACCAAGGCCATTTGAAAAGCTCAGCATATCTATGTGCCACATATGCATTTCTGGAGGAGGGCTAAAGAAATGCCAAAAAATAGTATGCTTTGGGACTAAAATGCTGAATTTTAAAAACGGGGCTCAAAAGTTCAAAAAAATGAAAATAGGGGGGTCAAAATTCCATTTAAACCAAAACATAATTAAATTAAATAAATAAAATAGAAATTGTTTAAATATTAAAATAATATTATTTAAATATTAAAATACTTTCTGACACGCAATATCTTCTTCGATACACCAAGGCAGCCCTCTTACATCAATATTGGACGACAACATGCCCTATCGCATGGTTATAGTTGAGTCCACATAATACAGCAATATGAAAATGCGGTTTTCTTCATATTGATAATATTCTACACTACTGAGAGAAACCAAGAACCACTACAAAAGCATGCATGCATTTCTACGCTTCCAACATTGCTTGGTTAATTTTCCCCTACATGTTACTCTCATCTGAACACTGAATCTCGGCTCCCTTAATAGTAGTACGTTAGCTACGAATCCACCTTCAAAAGAAATATCAATCAAATGAAATTATGATTCAGATCAGGAGGACACCAGATATAATATTCTCTCATAATAGACATAAGTAAAGTAGACATCTTTAGTATCATGGACAACATTAGTTTTAACGATAAAGAAAACAAATATTATTAAATACTTTGCAGGATCTCGATGGTGTTATCTCGTGAAAACAGTTTTTAACTCCATCTAGATCCCGAAAAACTCTTTTAGTTATAGACACCAAGGTAAATAGAAAGTGTATGGAATGAAAATCACTGTATCTCATTGAATATAATTAAAATGAATGTCGTTAATAACACATTACTTGATTTGTGAGGAGACTTTAAGCTGTTCATGGATTCTACATCTAGATTAAAGACGACAAATAAAAGGCTGATCCCGCAGCTACACGATTGAAGATTTTAGCATGAGAAACTATTTTTGTAAAACTAAATTTAAACAAGTGGTTAGCGCAATTCAAATAGGTGATTAATTACGTTCCATAGACAGTTAATGAAACTCATTAACTACTAGTGTAACTTCATTAACCACAATTTAAATGCGGTTGACCATAATTTTCGAGTGTTCAATTATAGATTTGAACACATGAAAATTGTGGTTAATGAAGTTACGACAATGGTTAGTGAGATTTAATACCTAGTATATCCATTAACCAAACATAATTAACCACCTATTTGAACTACATTAACCACACTTAGATTGCTGTCGCATACAATGTTCAATTTTTGTTGTTCAAATAACACAACTTTTTTAGCAATTGTAATAACTTCTTAAACTTTGACAAAACCAGATCCTTCCGATTTCTCAATAAACAATCTACTTACTAGACAGTCTTACCATCTGATTGAGATAGATGATAAGTTGGTAGGACCCAACTGTTTTCATGGCATAACACCATCTTGATCCTGCAAGATTAAACAAGTTAGTAGTTGTTTTCAATGAATTGCACATAAATTAATGGGACCCAAATGAATATCAGTTAATAGTGAAAAGAATGGCATAGTGTTCGTAGCACTCAACATGCATCTATTTGGTTCCATACCCAACATAACTATTTTTTACAATTGAATTAAACAGAAGTAGAACAATGAAGCATCATATACGTAGCAAAATCTTCTCCTTAGACTCAATAGAAATCACTAGGTGATTGTTTTCATGAACCACATTTACATCAACAATTATAGCCCTATTATATGATGTATGATAAATAATGCATCGATCATTTTTTTCACATTTAGTTTAGTCATAAGAAATTCAAATGCAAAAACAAGGAAGTAAATGGAATGTCTCGCCTGGTATGAACTTTGCAGCTCTGACAAATTTCTCTTCTTACGAGGGAAGCTTTGTTGTCCACCCATGCCTTCTTGATTTGTTACAGATACATCATTACATCCTTCCATAATGCATTCTATCATCGATTCATAGTCATCTTTCCCATCTACACATGTCAACAAAACCCAAAAATAAATAGCTACTCAGAGAAAAGAGTAAATGTAGGCCTAAACTAGCATCAGATCCATTCGGATGTTCGAAACAGAGAATAAAAACTATTGTAGAACCAGCAAAGAGAGGATAAACCTCAAAAAACACTATAGGGAGAAAAGTCATATTGACAGAATAATGAATCTGAGAATCAAAACAACGAACAATACAGTGAAAAGAAAACTTACCAGTTAGCATTCTCTGAATTCTTTCATCACAACTAGCGATCTCATCATCAATTTTGTGCTGCTGAAGGGCCTGAATGGCGTAAATAAGTCTAAAGATGAGAGCAAATATAGTTTTCTTGGCATTCAAAAGTAGCAATAAGTAAATTTCAAAATTAAGTTGAAACCAATGGGTGAAAGAAGCAAAATAATACTGTAATGGTCCGAAGAAAACATTTCAACATTTGACACACATTGAATGGGAGTGTAAGTTGTGAACTATGTGCCACTCTTTTTGTTTTTATCTCACTGGCTTTCCACAACAAAGTATATTTGTATTTAGGTGCAAATGCATAGCTACGGAAATGAGTATAGAGTATAAAGTATTATTGTCATTAGAAAGAAAAAAGCAATGCAAAAAGTTTTACCAGCTCATTCCTCTTTCGTATTAGAGAAGATATGGCAGTTCGCGACAGTGTCTTTTTAGAATCTTGAAGACTTTGGAGCTTCACTGTATCTGAGTTAGAATTATTTGAATTCTGAGTACAGCCATCTGTTGTTTCTTTTTCATACGAGGTATTTGGACTATTGGCACAAAGCTTGCCACAAGAAACAATAGTGTTGGTTTCACCTCCAATGACAATCGTATTTGTCGAAACAACCTTCATAGGCTGCCAAACCAGAAATGAGTATAGAGTATATAGCATTATTGTCATGAGAAAGAAAAAAGCAATGCAAAAAGTTTTACCAGATCATTCCTCTTTTGTATTAGAGAAGATATGGCAGTTCGCGACAGTGTCTTTTTAGAATCTTGAAGACTTTGGAGCTTCTTTGTATCTGAGCTAGAATTATTTAAACTTTGAGCACAGACATCAGTTGTTTCTTTTTCATACGAAGTATTTGGACTATTGGCACAAAGCTTGCCGCAAGAAACAATATTGTTGGTTTCACCTCCATTGACAATCATATTTGTCGAATCGACCTTCATAGCCTGCCAAACCAGAAATGAGTAGAGTATATAGCATTATTGTCATTAGAAAGAAAAAAGCAATGCAAAAAGTTTTACCAGATCATTCCTCTTTCGATTTTGACAAGATATGGCGGTTCGCAACAGTGTCTTTTTAGAATCCTGAAGACTTTGGAGCTTCTCTGTATCTGAGTTAGAATTATTTGATATTTGAGTACAGGCATCTGTTGTTTCTTTTTCATACAAGGTATTTGGACTATTGGCACAAAGCTTGCCGCAAGAAACAATATTGTTGGTTCCACCTCCATTGACGAGCATATTTGCCGAATCAACCTTCATAGCCCGCCAAACCAGAAATGAGTATAGAGTATATATCATTATTGTCATTAGAAAGAAAAAAAGCAATGCAAAAAGTTTTACCAGATCATTCCTCTTTCGTATTAGAGAAGATACGGCAGTATGCGACAGTGTCTTTTTAGAAACTTGAAGACTTTGGAGCTTCTCTGTATCTGAGTTAGAAATATTTAAATGTTGAGGACGGGCATCTGTTGTTTCTTTTTCATACGAGGTATTTGGGCTATTGGCACAAAGCTTGTCGCTAGAAACAACATTGTTGGTTCCACCTCCATTGGCGAGCATATTTGTCGAATCAACCTTCACATCCTGCCAAACCAATGACATTCAGTTGGATGGGAAGATGTAATAAACAAGTGAATCAAACATGGATGGGCAGAAAACTATTTCTTGATCAGATCCACAATTGTGACGATCTTTTGCAAAGATCAATTTAACTGAAGTTGTTTAATACTGTAGTATATGTAATTTATCACCAAACGTTTCGATTGAAGCATAGAAAACCAAGATGAAGTTCTATCTGAAGGGGATAGCCATGCATAATAAAGGAATTATTTGGGTACATATAAAGGACAACCATGGTGCTATAAAATTTTTGGGTACATATTGTAAAATTTCTCCCATATAAACAGTCCTAGATTACAATATTAAACATAGCAATATTTTTCGTATTACTTTATACAAATAGTCCCAGACCTGAATAGCACTAGCAGAGCCATTGGAGTTACGATGCTCAGATGCATTGTTTTTTTCTTGATTTTCACCAACTTGTATAGTTTTTGTGATATTCTGTCGTTTTTCTCTATTTTGAGATGGATAAATTGAAGATCTGTCGACATCCATTTCATGGGTCTCCTTGATAAAATCACATGGACTGGGAGGATAGCTTCCATTGTTCTTTCTCTGCTCCAGCGATTCTTTTCTGCCAAAAGGTAAAATATATCACACAAATAGTTAGCCGCAATATATTACAAATAGTTGTCAAAGAAAATATAACAGTATGTTATGGCTTTGAGAAAGATAATAGATGGATGTACTTGGAATTTTGCAAACCATGCAACCATACAAGTCAGACTCTACAAGCAAAAGGTGTTCATTCATATTTAAGATTCTCACACATCAACCTTCCTTTAAAGCTTGCAGCAGATGGTAATTTTAAGCAAAAATAAACGCTTACACTAATGAATCTCTTCAAATAATGTAGGGATCAAGGCTTGGGAATGCAAGAGCCAAAAAGCCTTTTAAATAAATGAGGTAGATAACAAAACCCACAATATGTAATTAAGAATGTAAATGCACCAAAATAGACTCATACCCTAGGCACCATGATATTAGGGTTTTAGAAGTGCATATATGTTATAATGGCTCAGGCATGCTAAACCGGTATAAACAAAGTTTTTCAAAAAGGAGAACCGCACCAACCTAGAAATGCACTGTGAGATTATTTCAGAATAAGGAAGCACATGGAAGTATGCCACAGCTGGAGTAATCGTCCAACTGCTAGAACCCTTTTTGACCAAAGGACCCTGCAAGCTATGCAACAGAAGACATAAATGTTATTCAGAAGCAAATGCTAAGTTTATTTACTATCAATGATGCTTCTTTATGATGATCAGATAATTTCAAAGTATGGGAACAATCATCTAAGAATTAAATGCGCACAACCAACTAATACTTCCGGGTTCACAAAATGTACATCGCTAACTACAGTAAAAGTCATTCTATAATGATTTCTTACATACACCTTCACACTAAGATTGTAACATTCTGGCTAATAATCCTGTCTATCCAAAACCTTTGTGCAAAATTATTTTACAAAAATCAAAATGAAAGGTTAATATGTCGCTAATTCTCAAAGACATAGTAAAAATTAAACTAGTTCATAACTTGATTTAGTAGTAACTAGAAAGTGACATTAATGTGTAGTTTGAACACAACTACACAAGTATATTTGATTCTGCATAAAAAAAAATACTCCACTTAAATGCCTGACAGAAATAGGCATTAATGCCATTATTTTATCAATGGGAAGAATGGCGACATTAATGCCATTCACCCTGGAGAATTGAGTAATCATCCAAAAGCAAAACAATAGTAACTAAAACAAACCTTTCAATTACATCTTTGAGGGGAACTTTAATAATGTCCTCATTGATTGACTGGGAGCACTGCATTATAAATAAGCGAGAAGCTGCCTTCTCTTTGCTTTGGGAATAGACAGTGTAGCTTTCCAAAAGCATAATATCGGTGTTATTGATACCTGAGCCACATTAAACGAATCATGAGTTAGACATCATATTAGTATTGTTATCATGTTATTAGGCAGCAGTTATTATATTAGGCACAGCAGTTACTATTAGGCGGTTATTGAATAAATAAGGAAATTAAACGAAAAGCCAATAGGCAACTAATTGGTTGGGAGATACCAAAGTGGGAAAGACAGAACAAAGTGATGAAACAATAATAACCTCAAATAGATTGGAACAGAAACCCTATGTATACATCATGATGAGTGTACTAATAATGCCCCTTTGTCATATTGACATCATCTCTTATTAAATAAATTGGAAAGTGTGAGATCTTGAAAAATTCGAATGTCCTTTGATTTGTGAAGCCAATTTATGTATAAAAACAAGCTTACAATTAAATACAGGCTACAGCAGTTGCAAAGCCATGGGGATCTTTCTTATTGACAAGAATGAATACCTGTGGCTTCCTTTACGGCAGAATACCCAATTTGTAGAAGTCCGTCTTCGTCAACTTTTAATTCATCTTTCTTAGACTTTTTAATGACTCTTTTCCTTTTGTATGTATTTGTCATTTCTGGTGTAACTTCAGAACTTTGACTAGAGGCATCTATACATTTTTCAACCACAGACCATACCCCCTTGGTGATGGAACCAAAGAGCAAAAAGCAGTTCTCCTTCTTTCCGTCTATTAAAAGGATAGAAACTTTTGAAATGGGCCATCTCTCCATATTAGGAACATTCTTTGATGCATCTAAACATTTACAGACATCACATGCATCCATGATCACCTTTTCTGTTAATGATAGCTGCTTCTCCACATCAATAAGCTCTACTTCGTTAAAATTTTGCATGAATTGCAAATATGCCAGTAAAGGTGGCCTTAGAACCACAATCAACTTGCAAAATTCGTTAAATGGCAGATATTCTAGTTCTGGATGTTGTTTTCTGTGGTAGTAGTTGTACAGTATGACAGCAGAACGCACCTAAAAACCAACCTCAACACAGAAAAATAAGTAACAAGTGAAGATGGTCATACGTATTCATGTATATCTATAACATATATGTATGACTTGTAACTCATAATGAAACGAGATACCGCGAGATACGACATTTTGAAGAAAAAAAATCAAGGTATTGGTATATGAACAAAAAAACGAGAGTAAAATCATCATAAGAGAAAGAAAAAAACACCTGTTTAGCCATTGATTCCTGTTGAGAAGGTGTGGGATTATCTTTGACAGAAGATTTATCTGGCAGCAATGGATCAACCAGATGTTGCAAAAATACCTCAATTGCATCCTCAGTTGGACACACATCTAATGAATCTACCATATTCATATTCTATTCACCAATTTTCAAAACCAATCACCCTTTCTGCTATCAAACACACATTACTATTTGACCTAACACCATTTCTCAAAACAAATTAATCAAAATTCACAACAAAAATTATAATTAAAAAAAAAAACAGTTTTAGATTGAACATGCATGTGTGATCCCAAAAACCAAATTGTAAGAGGCATGGATTTAAAATATATAAAAAGTGAGAGAAATAAAGTTTTACCTGAGAATTAGAGAGATGAAGCAAGTAATAAAGTTTGCACCTTTCACCTTAGTTCACATTGAACCTGAGTGCATGTTTGAAGTTTATGATAATCTGAAAACACTGAAAAAAAGTATAAAAAAATAATAAATAATTTGTTCAGATTTCAATGTCAAAATTTAAATCGATGATAATAATAATAATAATAATAATAATAAAATAATATTAGTATTACACGAGTACGTAGAAGAGGTAGAGTGCAGTAGTCAAAGTACTCGGTTGAAAAAAAGAGTGAACATTGATTAATTGAGCGAAGAGGGGAAATTTTCGAGGAGTACTTTTTGAACTCGTACTAGTATTATAGCCATTCATGATTATACGGGTTTTTTTAACTTTTACTATCTATTACTCTATTAGTAAGTAAATTTGATTTTTTATTTGATTTTTTTTTTATATTTGACATTTTATGTGTGTAGTTTATATATATATATATATATATATATATATATATATATATATATATATATATATATATATATATATATATATATATATATATATATATATATATATATATATATATATTAATAGTCAAATTTATCAAAAAAAAAAGTCAAATTTATTTATAATTCACTAAAGATAAGTATATAGTACTCCTTTCGTCCCACAATGAATAATTCATTTTGAATAAAATAATATCATAAAATAAATTATCTATTTCAAACAGATATATCAAACACAATTCAGAAGTTATAAATTTACTGAAAGTAAAGTAATTTTATTTGATATCATAGTATTCATAAATTGTTAACTTTCTGAAAGTATGAAATTCAGACTCAAAGCTCAGAAGTTGTGCTCTCCTGAAAGGAAGACAAGTCAACACTCTGATGCATACTCTCATACAGAGATGCCACTCAGAATTTGTACTATGGTACACGTGCTTCAACAACGTATGTTATATTCAGAAGTTGTGAAGTGTCTGAATGTCTGATACAATGGAGAATATCAGATCAAACGTTGATGCTTGAGAAGCATAATATTTTGGTTGTGATATCAGAATCATGGTCCAGAAGCGCTCATACATAATGCGTGACATTTAGGTATGGCAAATAAACCCGCCCCCGCCACGAAATTAGCGGGGAAAATCCAGTTTAACGGGGGGCATGTGCGGGAAAAATCCGATTTTTATTTACGGATGCGGGTGGGAGGCGGGTGATGCTAGTACCCACCATGCACATGCACCCGCCAATTAAATTTAATTGATATAATTTATTTTTAATAATTTTATTACTCATTTACACTTTTTAATGTTATAATATCTTATTTATTAGAATTATTACTTATTTTTTTGAAAATACAATTTAAATAATAATATAAAACATAAAAAATGCTTTTAAATAATCAATTATATTTAATTTAATTATTGATTTTTATTTTTATTGAAAAGAAGTATATATTTTTTAAAAATTAAAATTTTATTCGTGCGGGTGTAGGGCGGGTGCGGGGAAACCCGTTTTTATTTGGGGCGGGGGCGGGGAACAAATATTAATTTCGATCGGGCTTGGGGGCGGGTCTGGGTCTGAGTGGCGGGTGCAGGTCTGGGTGTGCTTAAACCCACCTCTAACCCGCTTTGTTGCCATCCCTAGCGACATTATTCAATCAAGCTCAAATCAATTTTTGATTCTTCATCAAGTGCTGATAGAAAGCAAGTTTTAAGATGAAGGACAGGTGTTCTAGTCAGAGTTTGATGAGTTGCTATGGGGAAGTGTTACTTATCTATTCTTATGTTCTGATACTCAAAATTTATTTTGTGAGTCTTGGACAGGGAGAGACTATGAACAAGCTTAAATAGAATTTTAGGTTTAACAGATTTAGGGGAAAGTTGTGAGCTTAACTCTGAATTTGTCGATTACGGTGATTACCCTGTATAAATTGTTCTATCAAAATACATGATTTTTTCATCATCAAAAGAGGGGGATTGTAAGAACAAGAAGTGTTTCCTACATCTGGCCTTGAGATTTTGATGATAACTTCACATGTTATCTTAGAGAACAATTGTATACACTAATGGTTTCGTCTAGTGTGTAGCTATTGTTATAATGTTTTGACTCTGGTACAAGGTGTGTGACGTCATCAAGTTCTTAACATACACTCTAGAAGAAAACATGTGGTTACATGTTTCGGTAAAGTTAAGGTTTTGAACCCATGTTCTGCAATGTGTCTTAGGAACATTAGTACAAGAAGTTCTGATTGTGACTTTATGGTTTAGTGGATTAAGTACTCAATTGTTGTTGAATGATACCTTGAAAGATTGAGTGAAGCTCTGAGCTCAAGAAGACTTTTGTTGCGGCTGGAGTGAATTTACAGTAAGGATCGATGGACTTATTGGGGTGCCAATAAGATTGATCATACTTGTTGTGGGTTATTCTGTAATCAGTTTGGTTATAGTGGATTAAGTCATTGTTGAAGGTGAAATCATCCTTGCGAGAGTGGACTAGAGTAGCTTAGTTAACAGTGAACCAGGATAAAAAATCTTCGTGCTCATTTATTATTTTATGTTTTAAGCGTACCTGATTTGTCACCAACGAAAAGATTTAATTTGGTGAAACCCAATTCAAACCCTTATTTCTTGTGTTTTTCACACCTTTATGTATGGTATGTCGGGTCTAGTACATACCATAACATACATCAAAGAACCTACTATATTAGCATATGAGATGCTATTCATATAAGCTCTTTCGACATATATACTAGGACACTGATCTATACTCAACTTAAATTGAGGGTTTGTCGGAGTCACGACATGCTTTGAATTTGACATATCAAACTTGTCGAGAATCTTCCGTAGGTATGCCTCTTGAGATAAGCTCAATTTCAACTACTTTTTATCTCTTCGGATGTCAATCCCGCGAATCCTAGATGCAACTGTCAGATCTTTCATGTCGAACTCCTTATTGAGTTCATCCTTCACCCTCATTACATCTTTGATATTGTTGCTTGCTATGAGAATATCATCCACATAAAGCAAAAAAATAACAAATGAATTACAAGGTTAAAATCTGAAGTAAACACAATGGCCGAACTGACTTCTAATGAAACTTATGCGTGCCATGAACTTGTCAAATCTCCTATTTCATTGTCGAGGGGATTGTTTCAGTCTATATAAAGATCTCTTCAGCTTGTGCACATAATCTTCCTTCCCTTTTTCCACATACCTTTCAGGTTGCCTCATTAGGATTGTTTCATCTAGATCACCATACAAGAACATAGTTTTCACATCCATTTGTTTTAGTTCAAAGTCGAACTGTGTCACCATGGCAAGCAACATTTAAATAGACTCGTGCTTCACAACAGGAGAGAACACATCATTAAAGTTGACACCTTCTTTCTGAGTGAAACCCCTTGTGACCAACCTTGCCTTGTATCTTTTTGACACCACTCCTTCAATTCCTTTCTTAACTTTGAAAATACATTTACAACTGACTAACTTTGCTTCAATAGGTTTATTGATTAGTTCCTAAGTATTGTTATCATGAAGAAATTTCATCTCATCATCCATGGCCTTCAACCATTCAATCTTATTCTGACTCCTCATAACTTCCTTATGGTTTCTAAGTTCTTTATCTAGAACCTCACTTGCAGAGATTAAGGAATAAGTTATAAGATCTGCATATACCCAAGTCTCTGAGGTGGCTTGATGACTCTTCTCGACCTATCTCTTGCTAATAGGTAGTCATCGACAATTTCCTCAACTTCCTCAGCATCTCCTACTTCTTCTTTTTCGAATTCATCTGGGATATGCAATTCAGCATCGACATGCTCCTCCTCAACATGAATTTCTCCCTATTCTAGCTTTTCGTACACTTCGAAGAACATCATCAGTTTTCTTGAAAGCCATTTCAGCTTCATTGAAAATTACATCTCGACTGGTGGTACTCCTCCTATGACCTGGCTATAGGCACCATAACTTATAAGCTTTGAATGCTTTAAGGTATCCCACGAACATGCATTTTAGAGCTCTAGGCTCGACCTTGTCTTGCCTAATGTGAGCATAGGCTACGCAGCCAAATACTCTTAATTTGTCGAGATCTAGTGGATGTCCTGACCAAACTTCTTCAGATGTCTTCATATCTAACACAATTGAAGGACATTTGTTTATCAGATATCTTGTTGTCTAAATAGTCTCAGCCCAAAACACCTTCTTTAACACAACACTAGTCAACATGCATCTAACTCTCTCTAAAATAGTTCGATTAAACCTTTCATCCAAACCATTTTGATGTGGAGTACATGTAGTAGTTATGTTCCTTGCAATACCAGAGATAGCACAAAAGTTGTCGAAAGCCTCATTGCAAAATTCAAGGCAATTGTCGGTTCTCAGCCTTTTGACCTTTCTGTCAGTCTAATTTTCGACCAAAGTCTTCCAACTTTTGAAATTCTCAAAACTTTCATCCTTAGTATTCTGGATGAACACCCATAACTTTTTTGGAATAATCATCTACAATGGATAGAAAATACCTTGCTCTTGAATATGATGGACATCTTGCAGGCCCCCAAAGATCAGTATGGATGTAATCAAGGGATCTGTGTGTTCTTTGTTTGCCTTTGTTGAACTTCACTCTACAAGGTTTTCCAAGTACACATGGTTCACGAAACTTTAGTTTTTTGAATCTGTCTCCACCAAGAAAATTTTGTTTCCCCAGTTCGACCAGACCCCTTTCACTGACATGGCCCAATCTCATGTGCCAAATTTTTGTCTTCGACAAAGGTTTCTTAGATATAATACTTGTCGAACCACTTACAACTTCAACCTCAAGAGTGTACAAGCCTTGTTTCTTCACGCCTCTCAAGACTTCCTTCGACCCCTTCATGACTCTTAGGATACTTTCCCCTCCTTGGAAAACATATCATTTCTTATCGAATTCTCCAAGAGAAATCAAATTTTTCTTCAAATCAGGTACATACCTGACTTCAGTCAATCACCTTATTAAATCATCATGGAGCTTGAATCTTACAGATCCAACACCTACAATCTTATAAGCTTTATTGTTTCCCAGCAATACAGATCCACCATCTTGATCACATAGTTCCTCGAACAAGTCTTTGTTTGGAGTCATGTGCCAAGTGCAACTTGAATGCACAATCCACTCTTTTCTTGAGACGCTTCTTGAAACCACGAGAACATCAGATGAGTCAAAATCATATTGAACAATGGATGTGTTACCATTATCCTTACCTCAATGATCTTTCAGGTGTCTAGGGCACACTTTTCTTGTGTGACCCTCCTTCTTACAATGATATCATCAAATACCAGATGCTTTGCCACTGTAATACTTCTGCTGACTTTTAACTTTCTTCTTATCGAACTTACCATCCTTTCGTAAGAATTTCCCTTAACAACTAAACCTTCACCAACTGTCGAAGGTTTATGCTCCTTTCGTTTGTTTGAGTCCTTAGGATACAAGGCTGGTTGAACTTCTTCAAAGGTCATGGACTCCCTTCCATACAAAAGAGTTTCTTTGAAGTGTGCATGTGTTATGAGCAAAGCGCATAACAATAATAATGATTGATCTTCATCATCAATCTTCAAATCAATATTTTCAAGATCAAGAATCAACTTGTTGAACATATCCAACTGCTCAGCCAACACTTTATTTTCAATCATCTTGAATGAATACAAAGCTTGCTTCAAGTAGAGTCTATTTACCAGCGATTTGGTCATGTACAAACTTTCAAATCCATAACCCTGATGTCGTCGTCTCCTTTAATATTTGTCGAAGAACCTTATCATCAAGGCTCAACAAGATTGTGTTGTGGGCTTTTTTTTATCATGGTCGTCTTTTCTTTTTCCGTTAACGCAACGTCCATATCCGTCACTCCTTTTAATGCTTCCAAACAACCCTGCTGAACCAGTAAAGCTTTCATCTTCAAGTGCCACAGACCAAAATCCTTCACTCCGATGAACTTTTCGATCTCATACTTTGTTCAAGGCATCTTCCTATAGCACCAATTTATTGTAAAAATGATACCAAGAACAGAGTATAATAGGTTTCTTTGAGGCAAGAAATCCACAAGGTATGAATCAGGAAAACAATAAGAAACAATAAGGAATTGGTTATTGACCGATATTCTTTACTTTCTCTTTTAAATAAGATTACAAGTGTTACAGAATAACAAATAACCTCTCTCGCCCTAAATTAGGATTTGCAGTATACAATGATGATAAACTAGTATGCTATTTATAATAAACCTAACATACTAAACTAATGAGCTTTTTTCGTAAATATTCGCTACAAGTTAACTTAGGATACAAGCTAACTTAAACAATTCAGCATAACACACAGGTCCAATTAGACATGCTAACAAACCTAGCATTATCGACTAATACATGTTAGAACAACTTCGACTACAACACGCACTACTTCGACAACAGTATGCAAACAAGCTTCAACCTCATACTTATTCTCTATTGAACCAGAAGATATCCTTCGACCCAATAGAGTTCGATCCAATATCTCACAGTGTGTTTAAGTTGGTTTTCAAGAATAATTTAATTTTCATATTGTATAATTCTTTACTAATTTTAATGGTTATATTTCTTTAACGAGGTGTATGGTAAAACAAACAATATAAATTAGTATATAATAAAGTATGGTACATTCCACAATGATTTTCTATATTAACTGTGAACCAATGTAATTTATTTGCTACTGGATTTCGAAACCAATACAGTATATATCACAATGATTGTTAAGCATAATCGTTATGATATCACATGCACTTTCTAGTATATGCAACGGTCCTAGAACTGTGATTGTTAGTAACGAATTTACAACAACACTCTACACAACAATATCTGAATCCACGTGATTATATGTATGTTTCAACTGTTGTTAAATGGGTTTTTTGTAGTAGCAATACATTTGTCGAAGAATTCAGCCTATCACGAGCGAATCAAACACATCGATGTAAGATTGCATTTAGTCAGAGAAATAATCGAGCGTGAAGAAGTTCAATTGATGAAGGTTTCAATTGAAGATATAGACATTGTCAAGCTGCAAGTTTTTTCATTATACGCAATTGATAAAGCTGCATGAAGAAAGCTAGTTTATTCCCTTGATGTTGTAAATTTGTTTCAAGGTGGAGATTTGTGAGATTTTGGATCGAACTCTAGTTTCGACATGGGTAGCTTCTTGGTTCCACAAAGATTAAGCATATTGTCGAAGTTTGTTCACATGCTTATGTCGAAGTCCTGTATGTTGTAGTCGAAGTATGATCATGCATGCAGTAACCGAAATACTATAATTGTTAGCATATCAAATTGAGGCTATTTTGTTTAGTCCAATTATTTAAGTTAGCTTAATAGTCTATAAATAAAGTAGTTCTCTTAAGTTGTTGAGAGAATTATTGGTTGTTGATATTCACTTGTAATCTGTAAACCCTAATAGAAAAAGTGAATAATAAAACTGTTATAACCAATCATGATATTTCTTTCTTCTTCTTCTTTCTTATTTGTAAAATTTAATAAAATATTTTTGTGATTATTTAAAAAACTTAATCTTTTTTAAAGTGTTATTTATTATTGGTACGATGTTTACCACGACAATGTCTCTTTTTAATAATATAAATTGTGACATGTAATCATATTATTATTTCTATATAAAGTGATATGTTAATAATTAAAATGACATATAATCATATTATTATTTCTCTTAAACATATCGTTATAAATAGATAGGTTATTCTATAATATAAAAAATCAAAATATAATTTGGTGTAGGCTACTCTTATTCTAAATAACATTTTATATAAGAATATTCTATTATCTTCCACTAAATATAAATAATACTATTTAAATTTGTACACGCCTACTAAAAAAATAGACAAAAAAGAGTGTGGAGTGTTTATGTGAACTTTAAGACTGAATAAATTTCAACCATCCGATTAAAACTGACTGATTTGTTGTATATTTTGTATAAATGATTTGGATTGGGTCAGATTGATTAAATTAATTAATTTAAATAGTATAAGGTTAATTTGGTGGGACTCAGATAATTATTTTAGATCTTTAAAAAAATCGAAACAAGTCAAATTCAATTAATATTATTTTTATTTTTATTTTTCATATTATAAATTGATCATTATAAAAATTAGATTCACAATATTATTATTTTTATAATCTAATAATAATATTATTTATTTATAAAAATATAATATCATATGAAATTTTATATATTATTTAATTTATTGTTTAAAATATAATAATAATTAAATTAATATCAAATGATGTTGAAAATATTGTCACGTAATGATAATTTGTTTCAATGATAAAAAAATAGCGCAGATTTTTAAAATTTTAATAATTATTTTTATTAAAAAATAAATGATTATGAATTTTATAAAAAATAATTTTTTATAAATAAATATTAAACAATTAAATCTATCCAAATTATCTGATAAACTAATTTAATTGAATTCGATAAAAATTAAAATTTTATCGTTCGAAATCACATTTTTAAAATAAAAGTCGAATTTAAGTTTTGAGCGTGATATCAGTCCAAACGCACGGATTGTGGAGCCCTAGTGAACCCCACTCGATTTTAAATGTAAAATTGTCTTGGAAGATTAAACCAAAATATTAAAATCTCAAAATTAATTCATAAACAGCATGCTTCAATAATGTAAAAATGCCAGTCCTTCCGTCTTGTCCATTTGTTTTGGGAAGTTGGAGAATCAAAGTCGCGATCATGTCCGAGACAAGACGTTTCCGTCACAAATCTCCTCTCTCCAACGCCGTCAAACCCTCCGACTCCGATTCCATCTCCACCGCTTCACTCTCCCCACAACTTCATGTATACGTCAGGAGAAACAAGAGAGCCAAAGGAATCACCACCACGGCAAAGCTTCAAGACAATCAGAAATTAGGTCTGCCTGAAATTGAAGATTTTGCATACAGAGGAGCAAATGAATTGCCTCATCACAGTAAGTAATGTTTGTTGTGTGCTGTTGTTAACGTGTTACATATTTTCGTATTAAACTATATTTCCTTTCTAGGTCAATTCTCAATCGTATATGATATAGGTGGATTACCTGCTCGCTGGGAAGAAACGCTTGAAGGTATTCGCAAAATGAGATGTTCTGCAGATGCACCAGTAGACACTATGGGATGCGAGAAAGCTGGTTCTACACTACCCCCTAAGGTTGACGACTTCACAACGATGTTCACCGGCCTTGTTAACTCTTCGTGTAATCTTGTATTGAATTGATTGGTTTGCTAGACATAGGGTTTTGCAAACTAATTTACGCATATTAAAATTCCTCTGTGTATAATCAGGAAAGAAGATTTGCTGTCCTGGTATCTTCCCTTTTATCAAGTCAAACCAAGGATCATATTAATCACGGTGAGCACATATGCCTTCTAATGTTTATAGTAAATAAAACCTGTTTAGTTTCTGGCTTCTGTGCATAGTAATGCACTCCAAGATAATAATGCTATTTGTTTTTAAGATCAAATATTCATCGACACCAAATAGTTATAAGGGTTTGATGAAAGAAGAAAAAGAATGCATGGAATTGGAATGTCAAACATGTCATAACAAGAAGAAATAGTAGAAGAAAGTAGCTAAGTGAGGAAGTATCATTATAAAATGGGTAGTTTATATATTTCTTGATATGGGTGATTGAATTCAAAAAATAAATTTATTGCAAGTTGATTGCTAATTTAACTAACATCATTATGTCATTTTACTTTTGATGCATGTGATTCATACCGTGTAGTTGCTAAAAAATGTATGTCATGTTTCAACGTATGAAACTGTTGTAGTTACAAGTGTTTCTGTAAGAATATAGGAGCAATCCAACGTCTTCTTCAAAATGATCTGCTTACTCCTGATGCAATCAACAATGCTGACGAAGAAACAATTAAAAAATTGATTTACCCGGTATGTTTCTTGTTTCTTTTCAACATATCACCTCTTCAGTTGTTCAAATGATTTGAAGATTCAAGTTTTTTCTCAGTTTGCATGTTAACTGTCAGTTTTTTTAAAGTTTTTTTCTTTTCTTTCTGTATTAACTGAATCCGTGCTTTTAATTTTGGGTGCTCTTTTTCTTCGTTTTTTCCAGGTTGGATTTTATACAAGAAAAGCCACTAATTTGAAAAAAATCGCAAATATTTGTCTCATGAAGTATGGTGGAGATATACCTAGCACAATTGAGCAACTACTCGTACTTCCAGGCATAGGTCCTAAGATGGCTCATTTGGTACGTGTAATAGATTTTCTAACTCACAAGCAATATGTTTCATGATTATTTTTTGAAACAGATTTTGTTAGTGGCATAATAGGTTATGAATGTTGCATGGAACAATGTCCAAGGGATATGTGTAGATACTCATGTCCATCGCATTTGCAATAGGCTGGGCTGGGTGTCAAGATTGGGCACGAAACAGGTTCCTTTATGTTTGGTGGCATCACATTTTATTGTTGAATCATTAATCCCTAATCTATTTGTTCTCACAGCATCTTTGACTCTTGGTGCTGTGCTTCAATTATTTGCTGCTTTCCGTAAAAAAATGCTAGTTATATACATGAAATTACCTCACATATTTTTCTTAATTGAATCAGTTAAATTAGTTATAACAAGTGTTATTATTAACATATAATAAAAAATTCCATATGAGAAATAGCATAGCGGGTAAATAGCGGAAGCGTGACACGGTCTAAATATAAAAAATGTGTATAAAATAAATCATGCAGCATACACAAATAAAAGCTGCATAAACAAAGCAAAAAAGTAATCGGTATAAAACTCAAGTCTCAATATTTCAAACTAATAAAGCATGATGCATAGTTGCGCATACATTGCCTGAAGGATATGAAGGAACAGAATGAAGAACATAGCGGTTACCTTCTTATTTTTCAGGTAGTGACGTTTTATTGCTTTAGGTATATAATACCACTAACCCACTCATTACATATTTTGAACTTTTTTAAATTTTTAACTTTTTAAAAAAGTTTGTCCACCACTTCAGATTTTGTAATGTTTTAAAAGTTTGGCCACCAATAAAACACACAACTCCACTCTTCTTCATTACGTACCGGTATAACCATATATCAAAATGCGTGCAAATATCAGAGTTGACATATAATACCGGCTACCCCAAATTTCAATACATGATGGCAGTATAAGGGCGCTATACCAGTTTTTAACAGCACTGGTTATAGCTAGTAACTGATGCAACAAAATATAACTGAAATCCAAATATGCATTTGTACTTGTAACATATTTTGGGACACTTTAACGCATAGATATAACTTATAACAAACACTTTTTGTAAGTGACATGGATTTAGTTTGTGTCACTTGGTTATAAAGTTAAGAATTGAAGTTTACTAACAATATTTCACTTGTGCTAGAAAACTTTGACACCTGAAGAGACTAGAGTGTCACTGCAACTGTGGCTTCCAAGGGAAGAATGGGATCCAATAAATCCTCTATTGGTAATTGGCAAATTCATTGTCCAAATTTTACCTGTACTATTTCACTTATATTTTGCTACAGAGCCTATGAATGACGACTTCTATTGAATATAAACAGGTAGGATTTGGACAAACAATTTGTACACCTCTAAGACCTCGTTGTGGAGAATGTAGTATCAGTCACTTGTGTCCATCAGCATTCAAGGAGGCCTCAGGTTCAAGCCCGATATCGAAGTCCACAAAGTCCCGAAGGAACAAGAAGCTTTAACAAAGAGAAAAACTTTCTTCACTCCAAACATGAATTCAGATGTACATATCTGATCAAATTCTAATTTTTTATTACTCAGAATTACAATTTCAGAAAAATGTGAATTCTCTTAGAAGGGAAGGGGTAAAAAAGTAGCACTCTTAACAATTTGGATTGGCTTTTTTTGTTAGCCATCTTGCTCTATTTTGATGTGCACTTACAGGCATGTATGCGTCTGTGATTAAATTGTTATTAAGTAGGCTCACATTGTACACAGCAGCACATCTAAATATTAGATGTTTTTTTTATTTGTTGTAGAAAATGCTCGTATGCAATCTAGACGTTAACACTGTATTATGAGAAAATATTTTTAACACTGTATTATGAGAAAATATTTTTATACTGTCAATCAATCACTACTATCTATTTAATTAAATCATTTTTTTTTTTTAATAATATGACAAATTGATGGTTTTATATTGGATGACAATGTAAAACTATTTTATAGTGTAAGAGCATATTCATTAAATCATTGTTTTATTTATTTATGGAGACACTTTCATTAAATCATTGTTTTATTTATTTATGGAGACACTTCTTATTTGTTTTATAGATATTTTTTAAAGTAATTACTTTTTACCATTAACTTTCCTCCCAGACTTTGTACAAAATGTCATTCACAATTTTTTAAAGAACAACTTTTAAGTTTGACTTGTCACTCTATCATCTTTATCCTCCTACTAGAATGAATAATATAAATCTAATATTTTTTTAAAATCATCTCTTGCAAAATAGTAAGTTCTGGATTCTCATTTTGCAAGATACGTTTTAGATTCCAATTTATAATCAACTATTTTTTAAAGTAACTTAAACACACTGAGTACTTAGGCTTAAAAGATATGTATCGACAATAAACTATTTTTACACGGATATAAAATGTCTATTTATGTTAACTTGTGCCCAATTACTTATTAACAACAATTGTAAAAGATTTCATACATAGCAATTATGTATTGATATATTTTTTTAATTATTTGAAAAATTAAATGTACAATTTTCAAAAAGAAATTGTTATTTTTGATATACTAATCTTAAAAGCACATGTTAACATTTTTATAAAAATAAAGTCATCGTATCTGATTAGAAGGGATTATCAAAATCCACAAACTTCAAGTCGAACAATAGTTGAATATGTAGTGGGAGAAAGATACCTGCAAGATACTCTGATGTCAAAGTGAGGTTCAGAGTAAGTGCAAGCAAGTATGAGAGTATGAGTAAGTGAATGAATACCTGACTCTCTCAAGTGAGAGGATATTTATAGTCCATAGCGTTGGGCGAAGGTCCCCATTCTGGACTGAGCAAAAGACCCAAAATAGAGACTGCCAGATCCTACGTGCATAGTAGGGACCAGCACGTGATCCCCAACTTGGATGGACTCCTCCGAACTATCAGGAGGATATGGATGCGGTCTTTTCGGGGTCAAGAAGACTCTGTGACATTCAGAGGTGTTGAGTGTCAGCCCTACGAGGAGGATGCTTGTGAGGTCCTTCTGACCGTCGTTGGTCCTCCTCACCAGTTGTGAGGTTGTTCCCGGAGGATTTATCTTGGTCGACAAGGAGGATGGAGGCAGCTTGCGAGGTCCTTCTGACCGTCATTGGCCCTCCTCGCCATTCATGGGTTTATCCCCGTAGGATAAAGTCTGGTCGACCAGAAGAGTGGAATCACTGGCCGACATGGTCGAGGGCAGACTCTTTCTTGCTGGCCTTCTCATGCAACATAGTTGGATTGGGCCTTGTATGATGTTTATGCCAAGTGCAAGCCCAGTCCAGAACAGGAGCTCCCGAAGTCGTTGCTCCTGAAAAATGAGTTATGACTTAAGACCAACTTCTCCATATGGTAAGCACAGTTTAGCCGGGGTTTTTCACCGCGTCGAAGGATGGGGTCATTTTTGTGCGTGGTTGCTCGAGCAAAGATTGGAATTTGTTTCACGGAGAACATTCCAGTTGCTCCTCGACCCGCGGGGAGATGGAGTTCGGAGTATGTCTACCTCGTAAGCTATGTGGTATAGCTTTTGGTTGCGACTAATTGAATAGAGTTTGGAGTTCGCGCACGGAGAAAGTTTATCTACTCCTCAACTTGTAGGGAGACAAAAGTTCGCAGGATGCAGCCATGTGGTATAACCTTTAGAATAAAATGATGGCCTAGGGAGTAGGGGTCATTATGACTCTGAGCGCGTAGTTGGCGAGGAGATGGATGGTTAGCGCACTGTTCGATGCGACATTTCTTCTTTCGTGCCAACTCTATAAATAATGCCTACGGATTCATTTGCAACATTTCCAACTCCCACTTCCTCCTTTCTCCCTATCGTCTTTAGTTTTCCATCTTTTCAACGACAGTCTAGGGGAGGAAGAGACTGTTCCAGATGTATGTAGACTCTGTCCGTGATTTTAAAGATAAGTGGTACGTCGTGCAACCTTCGTCTTAAGAGGCGGTGTATGTGGTGTTCGACGTAGTTTCCCTCGTAGATGAGGACGGGGAAACGTGTTATAACGAGGAAGGTAACAAATAGATTGGGAGACTCTCGAAGCTCCCTATTCATTGGTGTCAAGGTCACTACGAGCACGGGCCCGTCCATTACCATACTCCTCCCGGAAGCATGGGTGTCGAGGACGAAGGAGCCTTCGACATCCTCAACAGGTTCGTCAATGGTTTCTTCCCCTCGAGGTGGGTGACGAGGGAAGGAGATTATGTCCTCGATGAAGACGACGAATCTGCATTTGAGGCTCGCCCGATCAACACTAAGGCACTTGTTGAGTGTCGTACCTACGGGGAAACCATGGCTCTTCTTGGTATCTGTCCGCGCGACTCTATTACATTCTGTTTTTTTTACTTATTTTGGGTATGTTCCTCTAACAAGGATGACTCGAGCGTGTTGTTTTTTGTCTTTGCAGATAACATGGTTGAGCGTCGCGAACATCTCCTGAAGTTGACCCAAGAGAAAAAGAACAGCAAAAGGTTAGTGAAGACTTCGGGAGATGTCGGGCATGAACTGCATGGCGAATTGGGTGTTCTTCATGTCAAGTACTTCGACAGTGGAGCTTGATCATGGTATCCATGTAGGGCTAAGGTTGTGCTCGACAAATGAGCATAAAACCCATATTTCGTTAATGGTTGGAGGCTATTTTCGTACCTTAACATGCCTCCATGGTCGAGAGCGCCATGTCGTTCATCAGAGAGGACACATCGACGACTAGACCTTGACATTCATCAAGGACCTAGCTGTAATATTGTTTCAGCTTTATAGCGTTCCATGGTCGAGGAAGCGGTTCTCCACTTAGGTGCGCGAGGTAGTATGCTCCAGTGCTCGTTGCTCCACGGACGCGGTACGGTCCTTCCCAGTTGGAAGCTAACTTTCCTTCACGGGAATCTTTCTAATTTCTTTGTAAGACTAGGCTGCTGACCTGGAATTCGCGTTTTATGACTTTGGTGTCATGACACAGGGCTATCTGTTGCTTCAGTGTGGCTTCGCGAAGAGCTCACTCTGATCGGATTTCTTGGACTAGGTCAAGCTCTTCCCTTAGGGCCTCGTCATTTAGTTCCTTGTCTAAAGGGACTTCAGTTCGCCTGGATGGCTCCATGATCTCCACGGGGATTACAGCTTCGGTGTCATAGGTTAGCCGAAATGGGGTTTCATTGGTCGTCGAGTGTGGTGTTATTCAGTAGGCCCACAGGACGTTGTTCAGCTTCTCGACCCAACCCTTTTTGGCTTCGCCCAACTTGCGATTGAGTCCTCACAAGATGACTCTATTTGCAGCTTCGGCTTGCCCGTTGGTTTGAGGGTGCTTGACGGACGTGCAGTGTTGTTTAGTGTCGAGCTTCACGACGAACTCTTAGAAACCTTGATCAGTGAACTGCGTACCGTTATCGGTGACAAGCACTTGTGGTATGACGAACCAGGCACGCACGTTTTGTTTGTAGAAATAGAGGATGCTGTGGGATGTGATTCTGGCCAGGGCTTCAGCCTCTATCCATTTTGTGAAGTAGTCGACAACCACAATTAGGAATTTATTTTGATATAAACCTTGCGCGAAAGGTCTGAGGATGTCCATCCCCTATCAGACAAACGGCCATGGGGACGATAGTGTTTTAAGTTCGTGGGGTGGCGCGAGGTGCATGTCCGCGTGTCTCTAACATTTGTCACATTTTTTAACGTGTTCCTTCACATCTTATTGCATGGTGGGCCAGTAATAACATGCTTGCAGAACCTTTCGTGCCAGATATCTTCCGCCCACGTGTTGGGCGTTAATTCCCTCATGGATTTCCCGTAATATCTCAGGGGCTTGCATGGATTTCATAGGTAAGTACCCTCATGAAGTTTAGTTGGTTCAACCTGTCTTACAAAGTAATCAGGTTCTAGGGAATCTCAATATCATTGATCTTTCTTCATTGGGCATTGTTTTAGCATAATCAATCTTTTCTTGCGGCCAAAATATCCCAAAACTCTGATCTCAATGAGCGTAGTATCTAGTATCTAGTATCTAGTATCAACCAATTTTCAGCTTTCCACCGAAACTGGCTATCTCGCTACTTCCTAATGGCCAAGTTGTTAAATTAAAGGTTCTAAGGCTAGTTAGTGCTTTATGACACCGCTCAACGACTCTGTATTCTCCTCGATTCAACACAAGGGATACCAATACCAATAAATGTGTCACACTAACATAGCCATTGCTTTAACCATATCAATCTATGTCATACAATTTCCACAATCTATTTCTACTTACCTAATGATGTTCCCAGATCTGGGTAGTGGATCAATACAAACCCAAAAAAGGACCCATAAACGTAAAGCAAACAAATCAAAACAATGAAAGCAAACAAATGTGACCTAGCTCTAAGGTAACCCCACTTTTAAGTTTTCCCCAGCAGAGTCACCAGTTTTGTAATACAATGAGAGAACTAACTTGGGTGTTTTGTGTTTTGTCGCAATTGATGCGGATAGCAAGAGTCGCCACCGACTTTTC